CTTTCCCAGCGCATCGCCAGAGACCGTGTGTGTCCTGCCTTCGCCCGCGGGGGGAAGGGCTGTTCCTCCGGCCACGCGTTCACATGCAAGGGATCCCGATTCCTTTACTCCGCCATTGGTCCGAGTGGCGGCGTGGTGAGGAGCCTAATCCAAGAGAGGACCCGTGCCCAATGTCGGCTCTCGCGCAACCCAGGCTGGTAAGAAAATGCCCATTTCCGACTTGAATTACACAAAGGACCCAAGGGGAGCGCTCGCTAGTCACTGCGGGCAGAACTGGCAACTCCAGAGCGGTATTGAAGAGCCTGCTTGAAAACACAAGCGCCTCCACTTGAGAGATTTGTTTTCCGGTCCAGGAAATTATCCCTGGTTTTCCCAGGCCGCCACACTAAGCCTCTGGAGAGTAAATGTATCCGGTAAAGAGGAGCCTCTACAGAATGCCAGGTTCCCGATCCACCCCTAGGGGTTGATTTGTCTGTCCTTAAAGAAGGGAACAGATGCAAACGGAGTGACAACATTTCCTGTCACCCCCCCGCCGTGCCCCCGACCCTGCAGGAGACAATGGCTGCAGCCCCACGTGTCTGCAGTGAACACCCACAACTCTCCCTGGGAAATTCACTCCCCACTTAGCAGAAGAAGATGCTCCTCTGGCTGCACGTTGCTTTCCTGGCAGCACTTCCCCAAGGTGATTTCTGGCCCTAAAAGCTGCGGGGCGGGGAGACCAGTGTTACTGTGCACGAGGCTAAGATCCTTCTCTGTTCTGTCCTCAGGGGCCAATTCGCAGGTTCAGCTGGTGGAGTCTGGGGGAGGCGTGAAAATGGCAGGAGAGTCTATCAGCATCGCCTGTAAAGCCTCCGGGTTCACTTTTGGTGACTACTGGATGCACTGGTACCGACAGTCTCCCGGGAAGGGACCCGAGTGGGTGTCCGGCATTAGCTATTGGGCCGGAACCGACAAGAGATACGCTGAGTCGGTGAAAGGGCGATTCACCATCTCCAGAGACAACCCCAACAACCTGCTCCATTTGCAAATGACCGGCCTGAGACCCGAGGACGCGGCGGTGTATCACTGTCAGAGAGACACAGTGACGGGCAGGGAATCTAACCACGCACAAAAACATCCCCTTTGCAGTCACAGCCCGCCGCGGGGCACAGCCCAGGGGAAGAGTCAGACACACACAGAACTGAACCAAGGAGAAAATGCCCCCAGCGCCGCGATCAGCGCGTGAAGGACACGGCTTTTGTGGGGCTGCAGAGACAGGTCAGGGCTGGGGGAGGAAACACTGGAGGGTAGCAGGCCCCGTTTTCTTTGCTGCACACCTGCCCATCTGGGCGAGCAGCGAGCTTCCTCTCTCCCCGGGTTCCGTTCGCAGCTCGGGGTTAATGAGCCGGAACCGGCACAGCAAGGGGAAGCCAGTCGGAGCTAAGACACAAACCTCCCCCTGCTGCCAATGAGGCCAGGCCCGGCTGATCACAGTCAGCTGCATAGGGAGGCTGGGGGACCCGGCGCTTTCAGCGCTGGAAATGCCGGGATACCGTGTCTCTGTAGCAGGCAGCAGGGAGATGCCAACCCCAGGCGCGACACTGGAAACCCCAGCCCCATGGCGTGCCAGCTGCCCCCATTCCCGCAGCGTGTGAGCCTCGCCCTCCCCCACCCTGGATCCCCCTGTCCTGCTCCCCTCCCCTCAGGCATGTGAATGGGGCTGGGGCAGTGACAGAAAGAGGGCGCTCCGCATCCTCACTACAGAGCTCTTTGTCTTTAAGCCCTTCTCAGCCCAGAGTTCCGGAGCAGGCAGGACTGGAGGACACCGGGGCTTGGGGGCTTGGGTTTGTCTGTTGTGTGTTGCAGACAAGTGAGAGAGAAGGGCGCGCAGACAGACAGACAGGGACACACACACACGGACACAGCCAGACACACAGCCAGACACCGGATAAATGCTCACACATTTGCTCACCGTCGCACTCTTTCCCACGCCTTACTGGGGTGTGTGAGCGCCACCCGCACCCCCGCTCCGGATCCCCCGTTCACACAGCAGCTGGTGTCATTCCGCAGTCACCCTCTCTCTCTCCCTGAAGCCCAGTCGGTGACTTTGGGGTTCTTTAGCTCCCCCCATTACAGACATGAGGGAATCTCTGTGGCTGTTTCTCTGCGCGCTGCCGCTGTTCCCAGGTGAGCTCCAAGAGCGGGGGCCGGGGCCTGTCTATCTAGGGGACTTTCCTCGCCCTGTGACTCCCTCCGAATTATCTCTCTTTTAGGTTCGGTGGCTGGGAACTCGCTGACCCAGATCCCGGCTTCTCTGTCAGCCACAGAAGGGCAGCGGGTGGAGATAAGGTGTCAATACAGCACCTCCTACAGCAGCTACGCCCTGGACTGGTACCAGGAGCGGCCGGGGAAGGAGCCCCTCTTCCTAATTGGGAGGTTTTCCTACGGCTTAGAGCGCAAATCCGATTCTGTGGCCCCTCGGTTCTCGGCTCAGCTGGACACCGGAGCGAAGTCCCTCTCGCTGTCCATAGACAGGGCGCAGCGGGCTGACTCGGGGGCGTATTTCTGCGCTCTCTGGGATCCACCGTGCTACAGAGCGCCCCGGGCTCCCGACACAAACTGCCGGAGGGGGCGGCAGGTGTCTGAAAGGCGGTGACGTGTAATTCGAGTTCTCAGCCCCAGTAGACACGTTAGGAGACACACTTCAGGCCTCCTGGAAAAACAAAGGTACATTTTGGGGGACGTAGGCTAGCCAGAGGAGGTGAGTCGCTTTGCCGTCTGAGTAGCTACGAAACACAGAAGAAGCAACGCAACCTGAATTTTAGAGATGGGCTGCTGAGGCGCAGACGCGCTAAGTGACTTGGCCTCGGTGACACAGTGAAACGGCTTGAGGGCGAGGAACTGGGTTGGGAAGGACGTGTCTCGGTTATATTAGCGTCTCTGCAATAGTCCTGGGAGCTCCTCCAGTGAAGGCGGATGAGTCATGTAATCTTACCTTAACTTGGAGACATAAAGAAGTTGATCATTATTTATAATTAAGGTAATGCTAAAATTATCTAATACACAGAGTAAAGCAAAAATGTCTCTACATCTGGGTATAAGGCTTAAATGATCCCAAAGTGCAAAGTTTGGTTTAAAAGTGACAAAATACATAGAGTACATAATCCGCAATATCCCAAATTTAGGTTAATAAATTTAACCAGGTAGTTAAAATATGAACATCCAACTATTGAGGTACTTCACTCATAAAAAAGTTATACGAAGACCAGCTTGTGGGAAGCAAACATAGCAGTGAGTGTAGCGTGCCCCGCAGTAATTGAGAATTTAGGATGGGTTGTGCCTCAGTAAATACAATCCATCGGAGAAGTATTTCAGTTACTTTCCTGTTTCGCTTCTCCATGGCGCTATTTTATAACTCAGCTGTAGGACAGTAGCCACCAGAACCCACAGCACAGACCTTAGCTAGGGTCTCAGGGGCAGCTAGATGAGGTCGGAGCCAGATTTCAGGGGCCTGCAGCTGACATTTCAGAACCAACACAGGGATTTGTTCTTGCCTCTCTCACCAGTTTTCCTGTGATGGGAACTGGGAATCCCACCGTGTAGCGGCCCCGTGTGCGATGAGCGCTCAGTGGAGACACATAGTGAGCGACAGTCTCTGCCCTGAAGAACTTACAAAGAAATTGGAGCCGACAGAGGAAGGGTTCCTCACGGCGCCCTCGTTATACCCATGGGGAACAAAGTCACAAAGAGAGGAGGGTAAAGTTACTGCTGCTCCGTCTGCTGCTACCACATAGCCACTACGGTCTATTCCTCTCTCCTTTTGAAGACCGGAGCGGATGCAAATCGAGTGACCACATTTCCTGTGAGACACCCCCGGCGCCCCTGGGTCTGCAGAGGACACCGCACAGACACGTGTCTCCGCAGCTCACACCCATCCCCACTTCTCTGTGCCCTCTCCTGCAGAATTGTCTCCAAAATCGTCAGAAAAGAGATGATGCTGTGGCTTCCCCTCGCTTTCATGGCAGCAATTCCCAGAGGTGATTCCTTGCCTGGATACAGAGAGAAGCTCAGTATTATGGTGGAGATGATTAACACTATATTTTAATTTTGCAGGAGTCCATTCGCAGATTCAGCTGGTGGAGTCGGGGGGAGGTGTTAAAACCACAGGAGAGTCTATCCGCATCTCCTGTAAAGCCTCCGGATTTCCCTTTGGAAACTATTGGATGTTCTGGTACCGCCAGGCTCCCGGGAAAGCGCCAGAGTGGATCTCCTACATTAACCCCGGTAGCACTTCAGCGGACTATGGCCATTCAGTGAAAGGGCGATTCACCATCTCCAGAGACAACCCCAGCAACCTGCTCTATTTGCAAATGACCGGCCTGAGACCCGAGGACACGGCGGTGTATCACTGTGTGAGAGACACAGTGACGGGCAGGGAATCTAACCACGTACAAAAACATCCCCTTTGCAGTCACAGCTCCCTGCGGGGCAAACCCCAGGTGAAGAGTCAGACACACACAGAACTGAACCAAGGAGAAAATGTCCCCAGCGCTGCCAGCAGCGCGGGACGGACAAGACTTTTGTGGGGCTGCAGAGTCAGGTCAGGGCTGGGTAGCAAATATGAGGCAGCCGCTGTCCCAGTCCCTGCCCCTAGGGGGCAGCACCCCCGTGTTCTCTGCTGCACACCCGCCCCTCCGGGCAACCAGCGTGCCACCCCTCCCACACCCTGCCCCTAGGGGGCAGCGCCCTGATCCCTCTTCGCTCCTTCACGTCGATGATTCCCAAGCGGCCTCTGGGGGGGCGTGAGGGGTCAGCATTTATTTGCTGCACCCTGGGTCCCGGGAGACCTTGGTGGATTCCGAGCTGTGGCAGGGGGCAGCCAACAGGGGACAGGGTCAGATGTCACTAGCTGCTGGCAGATCAGATGCTGCCCCTTTGGCTTCCCCTTGGTGCCCCAGCTAGGAAGGAAACCGGGGTGTCCTGGGACCCAGCCCAGTCATTGGACCACTAGGGCAGGGATATGGTTTTTCCAGTGTAGGAAGTTCAAATTAGTCTCCCGGATCCTGACTGGTGGGTTCCCGAAGAAAAGGGCGGGTTTCACAGGCAGCAGCTTCCGATGTCTCCAATGCACCTTTAACTGCAGTAACTGACCGGTGACCGGGCCCTGTCTCAGATAACTGGCCAGGTGAAAAGGCAGGTCCCCCTCCCCCCGCCCCCGCCCAGTTGAGTGATATTAGCCACCCTGCTCCCTGGGATGTTAACCAATAGCTCAGCAGGGTGGGGCGGGATTTCTCCAAGTGCTATTTTAAATGAGGCGGGGCTATGCAAATTTTCCCCTTCAGAGACTCTCTTTCCGGGCTGTTCCCACCCGCCCCTGACCCTGCGGCCCGCGGAGAAGCTCTGTCCGTGCAGGGAGCAGCTCCGGACCCGTCCCCAGGGCGAGGACTGGCCGCAGACGCGCAGAGACGATGCGGTGGTGGCTCCATTTTGCTTTCATCGCAGCAGCGTCCAAAGGTGCTTGGAATGGGGTGGCGGGAATCGGGGGGTTGCTGATCCGATTATTGCCATTGATTGACCGGAGCGGGGCAGGGGAGATTCCCCGGGAATAAATTGGGACACACGGATTTTGTTTCCGGTTTCATACCATGTATTTGTCTCGTCTGAGAGGAGGCGGCTGAAAACCCCCAAAGGGTTTTCATTTTTCTCATAAATATTTTGGGGAGAACAGAAGTTTTCCCCCTTACATTAGACTGTGGCCAAAGCTGCCGCCGTTGCCCAGACCTGGCCCGAGGGGATTGTTCCCACCCGCTCTCACGCTCCCACCCCGGCTTGTTCCTCAGGGGCCGAGGCGCAGGGGCGGCTGGTGGAGTCCGGCGGCGGGGCTGCGACCACCGGCGGCTCCAGGCGGCTCTCCTGCACGGGCTCCGGATTCGCTTTCAGCAGCTACACCTTGTTCTGGTACCGGCAGCGCCCCGGGAAGGGGCTGGAATGGGTCTCCTGGATCAGCGGCACTGGCGGGAGCAAAGATTACACTAACTCCGTGAAAGGGCGATTCACCGTCTCCAGGGACAACACCAAGAGCCAGCTGTATCTGCAAATGAGCCGCCTGGGACCCGAGGACACCGCCCGGTATCACTGTGCGGGAGACAGTGAGGGGAAGCCGGTCTGAGTTGACACAAAAACTCGCTTCGTTCAGACCAGGGGATTCGTGAGCGTCCCGTGACTAACATCACCCCCTGAACTCCGGTGTCCCCTGACCCGCACCACATAGCCGGCCACTCACCCACCCACCGACCCCCTGCAGCCCCTGGGTGGCGCCCTTGTGCAGTGTCGTGGACGCTCAGGGGGCAGGGTGTGTGTCTGTGCAGGAGGGTTTCAGAGGAACAGCCGTGTTAGTCTGTATTCGCAAAAAGAAAAGGAGTACTTGTGGCACCTTAGAGACTAACCAATTTATTTGAGCATGAGCTTTCGTGAGCCACAGCTCACTTTGTTCTCTGAGCACAGGGCAGGGATATGAACCCAGACACCCTGGTCTGAGAGCAGGGGAAAGATCTGAGCTCTGCTGGGTTCACTAGCTGTGACGAAGTGGGCCTGTTCTTAATGTTTCCTCCGAATATTGTGGGGGTGCCTCAGTTTCCCCTATGCAGTTCTTAAGTCTCTAGGTGGTGGGGTAAGGGTGTATGATCATTGCAGAGCCCTAGATGGCAGGTGTGTGCAGGAGTCTGGACACAGAGAATGGCCGACACCCTGTTTCCTGGCAACTGATGGCCTGGGCCCTTCCCCCCTGCAAGGTGAAAGCTGAAGGGTTGGAGAACAAAGGAATCAGGTGACCACCTGGCCCAGGAAAGGAACAAAGCCCAGAGGAGGAGGGGCTGGAGGGAGTTTCAGTTTGGGGCTGCCTGGGACATGGAGTGAAGGGCAGACGTGGTTGTCTGGCTCACTGCCCCCAAAATGGACCCAGCTGAGGGGTCCCGTTCTCTGCACCTACAAGCTCTGTTTTAGACCATGTTCCTGTCGTCTAATAAACCTTCTGTTTTACTGGCTGGCTGAGAGTCACGTCTGACTGCGAAGTTGGGGTGCAGGACCCTCTGGCTTCCCCAGGACCCCGTCTGAGCAGACTCGCTGTGGGCAGTGCAGGGAGGGGCAGAGGATGCTGAATGCTCCAAGGTCAGACCCAGGAAGGTGGAAGCTGTGTGAGCTGTGTGTCCTGAAGACAGGCTGCTCACAGGAAGGCGACTGCCCCAGAGTCCTGACTGGCTTCATGGGGAGCAGTTCCAGAGCATCACCCAGGGACTCAGTGACAACCCCTCAGTCATGTCCTTCTGGGGAAGCAGGGAGCTTAGACCCCAGCCCTGGGGTTCCCTGCGTTCCTCCACCCAGCACCAAACTGAAACTAAACCCCCCCAGCAGGCTCTCTCCTGCAGCCTTTGTCCACATTCCCGGGCAGAGGTGTCACCTCCCCCACCTCCTCCTGGCTCAGGTTATAGGCTCTCAGGTCTCCCATCCCCAGGGCACATTCCCAGGTCAACACTCCCCTATCCCTGCTGCTTCACATCGTCACAGGGGGGGCATGGCGAAAAAAAATGTGAGAACCCCTGTGTGACCCACTGCACCCTGCAGGCCACAGAACCTCCTCCCCCCCCTCCCCGCCTCACTTGTAGGTGAGTATTGTAACTTCTCTACCTAGCTCACAGAGACGATGTCAGGATACCTTGGCTAGTGATTATTCAGCACTGTCTCAATGCTGTCTATGTTTTTGTGTTTAATACTTCTCTGTGTGTGACAGAGGCATATCTGAAAAATATTGTAATCGCTCCTGCAGTTTGGGCCCCAGTGGGGATGTTTTCACTTCAGTCAAAGGAAATAAAAGCAGCGAGTTCTTAACTGGGATTAGTGAACTTCGGCTGAACCCCAGCTTCTCCTGTGGATTTTTACTCAAATTGGAAACCGGAGTTTGCAGAACTTCAGGGCTATTTTAACCCCCCTTTAGCGCACACCTCTCCCCGTCCCCAACTTCTCCTTCCGTGCAGAGAGGTGGGGAACCGCAGCCAAATGGCTGGCTCCATACCGGCACTGTGCGCGCTGGTGCGGGACTGTCCGAGTTCTGGGGAGCAGAGGCCCCGGTTCTTAGCGCTGCACTGGGCCGCGCTGCCCCGGGATTTCTTTCCCAGCGCATCGCCAGAGACCATGTGTGTCCTGCCTTCGCCCGCGGGGGGAAGGGCTGTTCCTCCGGCCACGCCTTCAGATGCAAGGGATCCCGATTCCTTTACTCCGCCATTGGTCCGAGTGGCGGCGTGGTGAGGAGCCTAATCCAAGAGAGGACCCGTGCCCAATGTCGGCTCTTGCGCAACCCAGGCTGGTAAGAAAATGCCCATTTCCGACTTGAATTACACAAAGGACCCAAGGGGAGCGCTCACTAGTCACTGCGGGCAGAACTGGCAACTCCAGAGCGGTATTGAAGAGCCTGCTTGAAAACACAAGTGCCTCCACTTGAGAGATTTGTTTTCCGGTCCAGGAAATTATCCCTGGTTTTCCCAGGCCGCCACACTAAGCCTCTGGAGAGTAAATGTATCCGGTAAAGACGAGCTTCTACATGAATGCCAGGTTCCCGATCCACCCCTAGGGGTTGATTTGTCTGTCCTTAAAGAAGGGAACAGATGCAAACGGAATGACAACATTTCCTGTCACACCCCCGCCGTGTCCCCGACCCTGCAGGAGACAATGGCTGCAGCCCCACGTGTCTGCAGTGAACACCCACAACTCTCCCTGGGAAATTCACTCCCCACTTAGCAGAAGAAGATGCTCCTCTGGCTGCACGTTGCTTTCCTGGCAGCACTTCCCCAAGGTGATTTCTGGCCCTAAAAGATGCGGGGCGGGGAGACCAGTGTTACTGTGCACGAGGCTAAGATCCTTCTCTGTTCTGTCCTCAGGGGCCAATTCGCAGGTTCAGCTGGTGGAGTCTGGGGGAGGCGTGAAAATGGCAGGAGAGTCTATCAGCATCGCCTGTAAAGCCTCCGGGTTCACTTTTGGTGACTACTGGATGCACTGGTACCGACAGTCTCCCGGGAAGGGACCCGAGTGGGTGTCCGGCATTAGCTATTGGGCTGGAACCGACAAGAGATACGCTGAGTCGGTGAAAGGGCGATTCACCATCTCCAGAGACAACCCCAACAACCTGCTCTATTTGCAAATGTCTGGCCTTAGACCCGAGGACACGGCGGTGTATCACTGTGTGAGAGGCACAGTGACTGGCAGGGACTCTAACCACGCACAAAAACATCCCCTTTGCAGTCACAGCCTGCCGCGGGGCACAGCCCAGGGGAAGAGTCAGACACACAGAGAACTGAACCAAGGAGAAAATGGCCCCAGCGTCGCGATCAGCGCCTGAAGGACACGGCTTTTGTGGGGCTGCAGAGACAGGTCAGGGCTGGGGGAGGAAACACTGGAGGGTAGCAGGCCCCGTTTTCTTTGCTGCACACCTGCCCATCTGGGCTAGCAGCGAGCTTCCTCTCTCCCCCGCCCCTGCCCCTAGGGGGCAGCACCCCCGCTCTCTCTTGCGCTCTCTCACTTAGATGATTCCCAAGCAGCCTCTAGGGGGCAGGTGGGGTCAGCATTTCTTTGGTGGACTCCGAGCCGTGGCAGGGGGCAGCCAAAAGGGGACAGGGTCTGATGTCACTAGATGCTGGCAGATCTGATGCTGCCCCTTTGGCTTCCCCTTGGTGCCCCAGCTAGGAAGTCCTGGGATCCAGCCCAATGATTGGACCACTAGGGCAGGGATATGGTTTTTCCAGTGTAGGAAGTTCAAATTAGGCTCCCAGATCCTGATTGGTGGGTTCCCGAAGAAAGGGGCGGGTTTCACAGGCAGCAGCTTCCAATGGCTTCAGTGCACCTTTAACTGCAGTAATTGTCCGGCTTACTGGCCATGGGAGAGGTAATAGTGAAAACTGGCCAGGTGAAAACTCAGCACCCGCAGTGAGTGAGAATAGCCCCCCACCTTCCTGGGATGATATTACGTCACCCAACTTGTCTTGTTGATATCCTGGGACACACACACACCGCGGCACAACTGCCTTCCATAGAGCAGGGAAGAGAGTGAGACAGCCCAGTCCGGGTCTGCCCTGCTGTGCTGGGTTGCAGACATTTGAGGAGGAGTGAGAGGCTTGTATATGGGATGTATGTGCCCCTGTTTCCTGTGTGTAGGCTGGATAGCTCAATACAGAGACAGGTTTGATAGACAGATAGATTAGATGAGTATCAGATAGAGAAAGGGATGTATGACATGGATAGATAAGTGGTAGAAAGATGCACACTCTCACACAAAGAAAAGGAGGACTTAGTGTGACGAAGTGGGACTGTTCTTAATGTTTCCTCTGAATAGTGTGGGGGTGCCTCAGTTTCCCCTAGGCAGTTCTTAAGTATCTAGGGGGTGGGGTAAGGGTGTATGATCATTGTAGAGCCCTAGAGGGCATGTGTGTGCAGGAGTCTGGACACAGAGAATGGCCGACACCCTGTTTCCTGGCAACTAATGGCCTGGGCCCTTCCCCCCCTGCAAGGTGAGAGCTGAAGGGTTGGAGAACAAAGGAATCAGGTGACCACCGGGCCCGGGAAAGGAACAAAGCCCAGAGAAGGAGGGGCTGGAGGGGGTTTTCAGTTTGGGGTGCTGGGACATGGAGTGAAGTGCAGACGTGGTTTCTGGCTCACTGCCCCCAAAATGGACCCACTGAGGGGTCCCGTTCTCTCACCTGCAACTCTGTGTTAGACCATTTCCTTCGTCTAATAAACCTTCTTTTTACTGCTGGCTGAGAGTCCGTCTGACTGCGGTTGGGGTGGGACCCTCTGGCTTCCCCGGAGCCCCGCCTGAGCGGACTGCTGTGGGAAGCGCCGGAGGGCGAGATGCTGAATGTGGGTCAGACCAGGAAGGTGGAAGTGTGTGAGCTGCGTGTCCTGAAGACAGGCTGCTCACAGAAAGGATGCCCAGAGTCCTGACTGGTTCATGGGGAGCGTTCCAGAGCATCGCCCAGGGACTGTGACAACTGGTGGCCGGTGGGTGTACTGCACCCGTGGATGGCGCTTCCTGCGTAAGTGACTGGGGGCGTAACACGAAGGGGGATTGCCGAGGACCAGGCCTGCTGAAGGCTCAGAGAGGATCGGTTTCGGGGGCGGTTAACCCCTAGGAGTGTGTGACCATAGAGAAGGATTTTGAGTAACAGGGTTCCCCTGGGGTTGCGCGGGTCAAGGGGGGAGGAGTGCAGCTCGACCTGGCAAAGAGGTGGTGACTCGAGAAGGGCTGGCACTAGGGGTTCTCCCTGGAAACCGTGGGGAGCTGAGAACACGGGCTGTGGTCCACAACAACTTGGGAGGAGGGGTGGGTGTCACCGTCTCCTTAAGAAGGACATTGTAACCCTGTGCAAAAGGAGGTTGAGCATTGGAAGTTCACCAAAGCAGAGTTAATGTGCAGCTGGAGGAGGATGAGCTAAGGAACAGATTGACCCCAACTGGGGCTATAGCGGACTGGGGGCTGAAGGGGGGGGCCGACCCTGTCCCCGACCAGACGGGGGTCTTCGTCGGGTTCCCCTTGGGGGTCAAGAGGGGGATTGGAGTGAGTCTGAGAGCGAGGACTGTGAGCGAGAGGAAGAGTGAAATGAACGGGGTGGGGGCGGGGGCTGGGACCTCCCGGGGTGGTGGGGATAGACCGGGGGCCTTCGCGGGAATGGTATGCGCCTGGTTAGGGGGTGTGTGTGGTGCTCTGCCTTTGGGGGTTTGAACGGGATGGGGCGTGAGCCCCTTGCTGGGTCCCAAGCCGACCGCGGGTTGGGGGTGGACGGCCCCCGACCCCAACCTTGTCTGTGTGGGTTTCCTGGGGCCGGCCCCCGGACCTCCGTGGGGCGGGTGATGGTCATGGGGGAATTCTTGGGGTGGCGGGTGGGTGTAAACTTGTGGGCTCGACACCCGACCTGGGAGGGGAAACTGGAAGGGGGTGTAACTCTACCAAGGAATGGGGGGCGGGGTCCGGGAGTGGGGTTGATTGGTCAGGCAAGGACGTTGTGGGGGGGAGGGGGGGTGTTTTGTTTTGAATAGGGGGGGGTGTTCCGGGTTCTTAGGATCTGGGGGTGGGGTAAGGGTGTATGTTGGGTGGGTGTGTGCGGGCTGGGGGTTTGGCTGGGTCCCCCTGCGGTGGCGAAGGGTTGGAGACAAAGAAGGGAAGGGCGGGAACGGAGGAGGGGCTGGAGGGGTTTTAGTTTGGGGTGGCTGGGTGGGGGTGGGGTTGTTGGAGCTGGGGGTCGCTGCCTGTGTTGAGTGTGTAAACCGTTTTACTGGCTGGGGGGTGGGTTGGGGTGGGTGGGGGGGGGGGGGGGGGGGGGGGGGGGGGGGGGGGAGAGACTAGCAAATTTATTGGAGCATAGGCTTTCCTGAGCTACAGCTCACTTGATGGGATGCATTCTGATGAAAGAAAAGGAGGACTTGTGGCACCTTAGAGACTAACCAATTTATTTGAGCATGAGCTTTCGTGAGCTACAGCATCCGATGAAGTGAGCTGTAGCTCACGAAAGCTCATGCTCAAATAAATTGGTTAGTCTCTAAGGTGCCACAAGTCCTCCTTTTCTTTTTGCAAATACAGACGAACACTGCTGCTGCTCTGAAACACTCACCCAGATGGAGGGAGAACGGACGAGAGAGGGAGAACCAAACCCCCAGAGAATTTCACACCCTCTCATGACCACAGCCACACTCCGAGAGAGTCGCTGTTCCCCACACACCCTCCTCCCCCGACCTACACACGCACGGAGGCCGCTGCTGTCCTTTCCCAGGCATTTGTCTCCCCCAGAAGCTGCATCGGTGGCTGTGGGGCTCATTGGCTTTCCCCCTCCGCCCCGGGTACAGACATGCCAGGGGCTTGGTGGCTGGTGCTTTGCGCGCTCTCTGGCTCTCCAGGTGAGCATTGAGGGGCCCGGTCCCCGGGAACTCTGGGGGGCGCCATGGAAAGTTTAGACTTACCTCTCCCCTCTGTTCCAGGTGCCCTTTCCCAGGTGCGGCTGGTGGAGCCCGGCCCTGGGGTGGGGAAGGTCTCCGAGCCCCTCACTCTGACCTGCGCGGTCTCTGGGGAATCGATAGCGAGCAGCGATTACCTGTGGTAGCGGATCCCGGCGTCTCCAGAGACAGGACTAGAATACCTGGGCGTTATCACCCGCTCCGGGACTCCATTCCCGGCCCAGGCTCTCCGGAACCGCCTCACCCTCTCCAGAGACACCGCCAGGAGCCAGGTCTCCTTGCAGCTGCTGTCCCCGAGAGCTGCGGACCCCGCCACCGACCACTGCGCCAGGAGAGGGGCCCAGCGACACAGACAAAGGGGGGCCTGGGACAAAAAGGGGGGTGGGTACATTTCACAGGGACTTTCAGGGCAGTTGGAGACCGAGGGAGAGACCAGCTGGGAGAGACAGATCCCTGCGGGTTGAAGAAGGGACCAAACTCAAACCAGGCGGTGTGTCATCCCGGCCCCCTCTACCAAACCTGAGCGCCGGTCACAGTGTCTGCAGGAGCGGATCAAAGAGACTCGAGCGCTCGGGGGCAGCCTGACCCCCCAGCCCGGATGTGAGACTTTATTCCCCGGCGATGAGCGGCCCCTTGTGTCCCTGGGGGAGATAGTTACCAGGGGAATCCCAAAGCCTCTTCCGACATCCAGAGACCATTGCTCGCGAGCCTGGAGCGGCGTTTGCTTTCCCGGGGAGGTTTGTCTGCAGCAGGCCGGTCTCAGGCTGCGCTGGGGCATTTCTCACCGGGGTCTCGGCTGTGAGGTGCTGGGAGCAGAGCTCTGGGTCTGCGCTTGTGCCCTGCAGCGCCTGACACACTTCAGGTGGATGTGAGAACCTCACAATAACCCGACCTGTTCCAGGAGGCGCCCTGGCACCCATCAGCCTGGAGTCTCCGCCCTTCTCCAGGGCAGGGTGTGGGAAGGGGGGTGACTTCGTTTCCTTTCCAAACCAAGTAGCAGCGGCTGGGAGGCTGCAATAGACAGAAGCGGCTGCGCCTTGTGTTTGTGCCGTTAAGGGCTGGCACCGCCCCCCGCCGCCCCATTATCCTGACAGGGAGAAGTGACCCTCCAGCTCAGCGAGCAATGCCGGTGTGGGTACAGTTTGTGTTCCTTTTAGCCGCTTGGAAAGGTGAGAAAATGTCTGAAAATACAGGGAACCTAGAAATTATGTCTTTTTAATTGTAGTGTATCTATTTCTGTTTGTCTGTATAAACCTCCTTAGTATCATCTATCTATCTATCTATCTATCTATCTATCTATCTATCACCGCCAGAAATTTGAATCCATCCAGGCAACATCATACTTTCTTTCTTTCTTTCTTTCTTTTTCTTTCACAGTCCAATCTATACAATGTTCCATGCATATCATTATCCCATCTCTTTGTATGTTTCTAATCCCCCAGTAGCTATTCATCCATCTAGTGTCCCTGCGCTGTACTTCTCTCTCTATCCATCCGCATTTCCCCCTCTAACGTCTTCTCTCTCCAGCTATGCTTTCCTCCACTCTATTAGCTTGAAACGTTCTCTGTCTATCTCTGTTGCTTAGATGCCCCTTATCACTCTAGTGAGAGTCATTAGGTATGACCATTTATCATTATGCTTATTAATGTGCTTTCTCCACCAGGTGTCCAGTCCCAGATGCAGCTGGTGGAGTCCGGGGGGGCTGTTAGAAATGAAGGGGAGTCCATCCGGCTCTCCTGTAAAGGCTCCGGCTTCTCCTTCAGCAGCTACGACATGTTCTGGTACCGGCAGAGTCCCGGGAAAGGACCGGAGTTTGTTTCACGTATTAACTACGACGGGTCAGACCCACGTTACGCGGACTGGGTCCAAGGGCGATTCACCATCTCCAGGGACAACGCCAGGAGCGAGCTGTACCTGGGAATGAGCCGCCTGAGGCGGGGGGACACCGCCCGGTATCACTGCGCTGCTCCAGACGCACAGTGGGCGAAGCCGGTGTGAGCTCAGACAAAAAAACCCTTCCCCGGGCCCCAGGGGGAAAGTCTGTTCTCTGAGGAGCGGAGAGACCTGGTGCGCTCCGTGCAGGGAGGGAAGGGAAAGTGAGTCACTGCAGGGGGCACCAGAGGTGACTGCCGGAGAACACAGGAAACCCCAGCCCCACCGCTTGCCAGTCTGCTGCCAGCTGCCCCCTTCCCGCAGCGTGTGGCCCCCACCCTCGATCCCTAGGCTGGACTCACCTCTCCCCGAGTGATGTGAAAAGGGGAGCTGCAGGGAGAGCATGAGGGCGCTCGTCCTATGCACTCTAGAGCGCTGCGTCCCAGCGCCCATCCCCGTGAGCCCGGCCCCTGCTCCCTGAAAGGGCCGCTGCAGGGAGAGAGAGGAGAAAAACTGGCCCTGAATCGCCACGCGTGGGTGTGTCTGTATGTGACTGTGTGAGCCGGGCAGAGAGAGAGAGAACACGTGTGTGTGTGTGTGTGTGTGACAGAGATATGGTATGCATGACGCCCGTCTCAGGCTGCCCTGGGGCATTTCTCATCGGGGTCTCGGCTTTGTGGTCCCAGGAGCAGAGCTCTGGGTTTTCACTTGTCCATTGTAGCGGCGCCCAAGACAGTTCTGGTTGGTGTAAGAACCTCACAATAACTCACCCTGTTCCCGGGGCGCCCTGACACCCATCAGCCCGGATTCTCCGCCCCTCTCCAGGGGCAGGGTGTGGGCAGGGGCGTGACTTCTTTTCCTGTTCCAAACCCGGCAGTCGCCTCTGCCTGGGAGGGTGAGACAGAAGCAGTTTGTGCGGTTAAGGGCTAAGCCCCTCCTCGTCTTTACAGGGAGAAGTGACCCTCCAGCTCAGCGAGCAATGCCGGCGTGGGGACAATTTGGGTTCCTTTTAGCAAATTGGAAAGGTGAGAAAATGTTCGAAAATATAGGGTGTCACGGAGTCCCTGGGCGATGCTCTGGAACTCTCCCCATGAAGCCAGTCAGGACTCTGGGGCAGTCGCCTTTCTGTGAGCAGCCTGTCTTCAGGACACGCAGCTCACACAGGTTCCACCTTCCTGGGTCTGACCTCGGAGCATTCAGCATCCTCTGCCCCTCCGTGCGCTTCCCACAGCGAGTCCGCTCAGGCGGGGCTCCTGGGGAAGCCAGAGGGTCCTGCACCCCAACTTCGCAGTCAGACGTGACTCTCAGCCAGCCAGTAAAACAGAAGGTTTATTAGACGACAGGAACATGGTCTAAAACAGAGCTTGCAGGTGCAGAGAACGGGACCCCTCAGCTGGGTCCATTCTGGGGGGCAGTGAGCCAGACAACCACGTCTGCACTTCCTCCATGTCCCAGCCAGCCCCAAACTGAAAACCCCCTCCAGCCCCTCCTCCTCTGGGCTTTGTTCCTTTCCCGGGCCGGGGTCACCTGTCCTTTGTTCTCCAACCCTTCGCTCTCACCTTGCGGGGGAAGGGCCCGCATCGTGCCAGGAAACAGGGGTTGGCATCTCTGTGTCCGACTCTGCCCCGCCCCGGGCTGCAAATCCCCCCCCCCCGACTACCCGGGAAACGGGACCCCCCTCGGGAAACACGCCCTAGGGAATGTAAAGATTATGTATATTGAATTGCAGAGTGTATCTAGGTCTTTGTTTGTCTGTATAAACCGCCTTAGTATCCATCCACCTATCTATCATCCACGCATTCGCATCCATCTAGGCATCATGGTGTATTTTCTTTTTCTTTCTTTCTTTCTTTCTTTCTTATACAATGTTCCATGCACATCATTATCTCATCTGTATGTTTCTAATCCCCCACTAGCTATTCTTCCATCCATTGTTCCTGTGCTGTATTATCCCTCTCCCCATCCGGATTTCCCCCACTTCGGTAGTCTCTCTCCCTGTATGCTTTCCACCACTGTCTTAGCTAGTAACATGTCTGTCTGTCTCTGTTGCTTATATCCCCTTATCACCCTAGTGAGAGTCCACAGGTATGAACAATGATCCTTGTGCTCATTAATGTGTTTTCTCCATCAGGTGCCCAGTCCCAGATGCAGCTGGTGGAGTCTGGGGGGGGCTGGTAGAAATGAACGGGAGTGCATCCGGCTCCCCTGTAATGGCACCGGGCTCGCCTTCAACACCTATTGAATACACTGGTATCGTCAGAGTCGCGGGAAAGGACTGCTGTTTGTCTCACGTATTGACTAGGATGGGTCTAGTTCTTGTTAAGTGGATTGGGGTTCAAGGGCGATTCACCATCTCCAGAGACAACGCCAAGAGTGAGCTGTACCTGGGAATGAGCAGCCTGAGATGGGAGGACACCGCCCGGTATCACACTGCGCTGTTAGAATCACAGCATATCAGGGTTGGAAGGGACCTCAGGAGGTCATCTAGTCCAACCCCCCTGCTCAAAGCGGGACCAATCCCCAACTAAATCATCCCAGCCAGGGCTTTGTCAAGCCTGACCTTAAAAACTTCTAAGGAAGGAGATTCCACCACTGTCACGGAGTGTGGGGGAGTCCAGGCCCTGCACCCCTCTTCCTGGGATTCACTGAGACTCTCAGCCAGCCAGTAAAATGGAAGGTTTATTGGACAACAGGAACACACTCTCAAACAGAGCTTGTGGGTACAACCAGGACCCCTCAGTCAAGTCCTTCTGGGGGAGCAGGGAGCTTAGACCCCAGCCCTGGGGTTCCCTGCGTTCCTCCACCCAGCCCCAAAGTAAAACTAACCCCCCCCAGCAGGCTCTCTCCTGCAGCCTCTGTCCACATTCCTGGGCAGAGGTGTTACCTCCCCCGCCCCCTCCTGGCTCAGGTTATAGGCTCTCAGGTCTCCCATCCCCAGGGCACATTCCCAGGTCAACACTCCCCCCCTCCCTGCTGCCTCACATCCTCACATCACCTCCCTAGGGAACGCATTCCAGTGTTTCACCACCCTCCTAGTTAAAAAGTTTTTCCTAATATCCAACCTAAACCTCCCCTACTGCAACTTGAGACCATTACTCCTCGTTCTGTCATCTGCTACCATTGAGAACAGTCTAGAGCCATCCTCTTTGAAACCCCCTTTCAGGTAGTTGAAAGCAGCTATCAAATCCCCCCTCATTCTTCTCTTCCATAGACTAAACAATCCCAGTTCTCTCAGCCTCTCCTCATAAGTCATGTGTTCCAGTCCCCTAATCATTTTTGTTGCCCTGCGCTGGACTCTTTCCAATTTTTCCACATCCTTCTTGTAGTGTGGGGCCCAAAACTGGACACAGTACTCCAGAGGAGGCCTCACCAGTGTCGAATAGAGGGGAACGATCACGTCCCTCGATCTGCCGGCAATGCCCCTACTTATACAGCCCAAAATGTCATTGGCCTTCTTGGCAAAAAGGGCACACTGCTGACTCATATCCAGCTTCTCGTCCACTGTCAACCCCTAGGTCCTTTTCTGCAGAACTGCTGCCAAGCCATTCGGTCCCTGGTCTGTAGCAGTGCATGGGATTCTTCCGTCCTAAGTGCAGGACTCTGAACTTGTCCTTGTTGAACCTTATCAGATTTCTTTTGGCCCAATCCTCCAATTTGTCTAGGTCCCTCTGTATCCTATCCCTAGCCTCCAGCGTATCTACCTCTCCTCCCAGTTTAGTGTCATCTGCAAACTTGTTGAGGGTGCAATCCACACCATCCTCCAGATCATTAATGAAGATATTGAACAAAACTGGCCCCAGGACCGACCCTTGGGGCACTCCACTTGCTACTGGCTGCCAAATAGACATGGAGCCATTGATCACTATCTGTTGAGCCCAACAATCTAGCCAACTTTCTACCCACCTTATAGTCCATTCATCCAGCCCATACTTCTTTAACATGCTGGCAAGAATACTGTTAGAGACGCACAGAGCGGGGAAGCCGGTGTGAGCTCGGACAAAAACCTCCTGACCCCGGCTCCAGGCCCAGAGGGGTAAAATCAGCTCCCTGGGGAACCGGGGGGCAGAGACCTGGTGCACTCACTGCGGAAAGGCCTGGAAACTTAGTCACTGTAGGGGTACCAGGGAGGTGTGAATCCTCGGGGACACAGGAAACCCCAACCCTACCGCTTCCATCACACTAACAGAGCTGGCCCAGAGGGGGTGTGCCACACTGGGACCTGGCTTGGGTCTGCTTGCTGTTCCGCAGACGGGTGAGACACAGCGAGAGGAGGAAAGACAGACAGACACACAGCACCCTTCCCTCTCCCTTCCCAGCGCATTGCTGGGGGTTTGCAAAGGGGAGGATCTACTCAGCGCCTCATCCCAGCTCCCGTCCCCTGGGCGCTCCGGCTCTCTGAAAGCCACGCGGCTGCAAAGCCTTAACCTGAGCCCGGGGTTTACGCAGCCTCCCTGAGCGTTCACAGCTGGTCGGGACCAGAGGCGGAGCTGGAGGAGCGATTTTTCTTCACGTCTGGACAGAGATTCAATAGTTTCAAAGCAATCACCGAAGCAGATAACCAATAACCAATAAGAAATAACTGCAAACAAAAATCCCAATGGACAACACACAAATCAATTCCCAACATACTGAAATCTGGTAACCAAAACTTCGCAACAAACACTAACCAATAACAACACAACAGAATCAACATGCGATCTTGAATATTTATTTAAATTCACTTGCGACTCTTTTTAGGGGTCCACGTTTTATTTTAAAAACTCCAGATACAAAACATGCAACAAACATAGCCAAGTGTAAATCAGTTTTTACAGTGAGAAAACCCCTCTGAAAGCCATAGAAGATCTGTTGCTTTAAAGAATCAAGGGAACTTCAAATTTTCAAGTCAGAAAAGGTCCCCACTATCTAGGTCTGTAACACGGTGAGAGGAAGAGGTGATAGATGAAGAATTGGTGGGGAACAGAGAAGGAGGGGGACTGGGGATTTCAAAGGAGGTGAAAGGACCTAGGTGTCTGACTCCCTTTGGGGTTTATTGGGATTTGAGTGCCTAACTCCCTTAGGCAGCTTTGGAAATCCCAACCAAGACCACAAGCGGGGCGTGCGGGGAAAAGAGAAAGAGACACAGGCAGACAGAGCCAGGACTCACACACTCATACTGTGCTGTGTCTGTTGCTCTTTATACAACACAGGGAAACCACACGGTGAGAGCTGACTTCCGAACAGCTAGAGGAAGACATGCAGCGTCTGGCTACTTACCGACACGGCTTCTCCGCCGGGTTCTGGGGGCGCCTGCAGCCGAAGATAAGGAAGACCTCTAGAGGGCTCCCCGACTATTTATGTAGGGTTAGTACCCGATCCCTACGCATCACAGAGCGCGAACCTTTCTGTGTCTGCCTGCGAGCTAGAATTTGTTACAGGTGTCGGCAGAGGTTTGCAGCCCGAGGCTCACGCTTCAGCCGACTCGCCCGAGCTGTCCGAGCTCCGTTGGTTCAGCGGCTGGACTGGAGAGTTTTGACACCTTCCAAATGATTAGATGTGTCCTCCTGGCGCTGGCCTTGGCGCCGTGTGAGTCTCTGTGTGTCTCTGTGTGTGGCTGTTTGCGTTTCTCTGTGTGTGTGACCAGGGGGGAGGCAGAGGGAGCCTTTGCTCCCTGGGCATCTGATTAAAGGATTATTTTGGACTCTCCCACGCTTGTTTCTAGGTGCCCTTTCCCAGCTGCAGCTGGTGGCCTCCGGCCCTGAGGTGGGGAAGGTCTCCGAGCTCCTCCCACTGACCTGCGCTGTCTCCGGGGTCTCCATCACTTCTCGGGATTACGTATGGCACTGGCTCCGTCAGCCTCCTGGAGAAGGGCTAGAATACATGGGACGGGTATATCTATATAGCAGGAGCACACACGCTCCGTCTCTCCGAGGCCGGATCACCATCTCTACAGACACCGCCAAGAACCAGGTCTCCCTGACGCTCCGCTCCCTGACAGCTGCGGACACCGCCACCTATTACTGCGCCTGGAGAGACACGGTGACACAGAGACCGAGGGCCTGGGACACAAAGCGGGGCCAGCCACACGCGTCCCCTCCCAGAGAGAAGGCACCTGACTTTGCCCTTGCGGTCCGCCCCCTTCCGCTGTCCCTTGAAGGAGACGCTTTGTCAGAGGCCGCCAGGAAGCTGGAGAGAAGCAGAGAAAGAGGAAACACCTGAACTTGTGAATGGGCAGCAGAGACTTTGTTACAGGAGTCCGGCAGTTTCGGAATCCCCAATCCGGGCCTGCGATTGCAACAGTCTCTCCTGTCTGCTGAGCAGCTGAACTGGGGAACTGAGGTTCTGGGGTCCTTTCTGACAAATGACCGGCTATTTCCTGGCTGCGCTAGCCCTGGCCACAGTGTGTGTGTGAGAGAGAGAGAGGAGAATCTGAGACAGGCGTCCGGCCCAGGGGTGGGGCAGGTCTCGGAGCCCCTCCCGCTCACCTGTGCTGTCTCTGCGTTCTCCATCACTGGTCAGTGTGATGAAGTGGGACTGTTCTTAATGTTCCCTCTGACTAGTGTGGGGTGCCTCAGTTTCCCCTAGGCAGTTCTTAAGTATCTAGGTGGTGGGGTAAGGGTGTATGATCATTGCAGAGACCTAGAGGGCATGTGTGTGCAGGGGTCTGGACACAGAGAATGGCCAACACCCTGTTTCCTGGCAACTGATGGCCTGGGCCCTTCCCCCCTGCAAGGTGAGACCTAAAGGGTTGGAGAACAAAGGAACCAGGTGAGGTCCTGCCCGGGAAAGGGACAAAGCCCAGGGGAGGAGGGGCTGGAGGGAGTTTCAGTTTGGGGTTGGCTGGAGACATGGAGTGAAGGGCAGACGTGGTTGTCGGCTCACTGCCCCCCAAAATGGACCCAGTGAAGGGGTCCGGTTCTCTGCACCTGCAAGCTCTGTTTTAGACCATGTTCCTGTCGTCTAATAAACCTTCTGTTTTACTGGCTGGCTGAGAGCCAAGTCTGACTGAGGAGTTGGGGGTGCAGGACCCTCTGGCTTCCCTGAGGGGCAGAGGATGCTGAATGCATCCGAGGTCAGACCCAGGAAGGTGGAAGCTGTGTGAGCTGTGTGTCCTGCAGACAGGCTGCTCCCAGAGAGGAGACTTCCCCAGAGTCCTGCCTGGCTTCATGGGGAGCAGTTTCAGAGCATCACCCAGGGACTCCGTGACAGTCAGCACTCCTACTGACACTGGATCCAGCAGCCTCCCGGGAACGGGCTGGAGTTGCTGGGGTGGATACACCCCTCTACGGGGCAGACATCCTACCCCCCTTCCCTGCAGAGCACGGTCACCATCTCTGCAGATGCCACCGAGAACCAGGTCTCCCTGCAGCTCGGCGCCCTGACTGCTGCGGACCCCGCCACATATTACTGTGCCAGGGGACACACAGTGACAGAGATTGGGGGGGGGGGGGCTGGCACAAAAAGGAGGTGGCTCGAAACGTCAGCGGGGCCCATGCACGGGGAGGGGCAGTGATACAGGCAATGGTGGGTAGGCTTCGCTGTCGGGTGGTGCAGACATTTCACAGGATCATAGAACCATAGGGGGAGAAGGGACCGCACAGGCCAGGGTGTTAGCTACTCTCCTTACCAGCCAGAGAGAGTAGGACACACACGGACACTTCAGCACCCCACCTTGCCACAGAGTCCTAGCCCTCTCACAGACAGACACAACCCCCAGCTCACCTACAGTCACACTCACTCGCACAGGGTTTAATCTGTGCCAGGGCTGAGCCTGGCCCCTCTGGTTTGCCGTGTCAGCTATGAACGTACAGATGTTGCTTGGGCCCCAGCACCGCTTTCATTACAAATTAAGCACTGCACTCACACCCAATGAAAACACAGTGTCAACCCCCGCCCCCATCCACATATTCACACCCAGACCCAGAATGTGCCCCACCCACAACCTCACACCCACAGTCACATCTACCCGCCTGCAAAAATATCCCACCTGCACCCACTCCCCTCCCCGGTACCACTCAGCTTCTGACTGCCGGATGCCGGGACTGGACAACAGGGGATGGATCATTCCCTCCTGGCCCTGTTCTGTTCATTCCCTCTGGGGCACCTGGCACTGGCCACTGTCGGAAGACAGGACACTGGCATAGATGGTCCTTTGCTCTGACCCAGATGGGCTGTTCTTATGCTCACTCTCAGAAACACCCACCAACACCCACAGAGTCACATCCGCCTCCCCTGACTCTTCTCAGCCTCTCCCCTGCATTACTGGGCTGTGTCCTGTTTACCTCCATCCCATCTCCGGGAGTGAGGCGCAAAGGGAGTGGTTCAAAGAGAGATGGGGCGTTTCTTTCTCAAAGGCCAACCACAAGTAATTGGGGTTGATGCTGGAGGCACTGGCTAGACTTCTCCGGTCTGTGTTAAATAAGAGGTTAGAGCAGATGGCCCCTCTAGCCTTAAAATCTATGAGAAATGATTTCTATCTCGGCTTGGATTCGATTTCTGTCAGGAGCTGTTGGTAAATGTCTGATTTCTCTGTACACACACAAACAGATGAAAACACATTTCCATGAATAATCATCAACATTTACAGACAGGCAAAGTAAGAAAAATAGCAATTGAGAATTTATTAGCGTCTTCGTTAAGGCTATTTATTCTGTATATTTTGACATGTGATGTTGACCATTTGTGTTTTAATGGTTATAAAGTGTGAACTTTTTGAATTGCAACATTTGCTGCCATTAAATAATTATTGTCTGACCCTCATATTTTCTCCAAACTGTGAACATTTAAATAGATAAAAAGACTTAAAACCCATCATTTTGCACAACTGTGAAAATTTAAACAGCTAAATATAAAAAAATGCTTAAAATAAACATTGATATTACCCATGGAAATTATTTAAAAATTGTATTCCTCCAAGTCTGTTTGCAAACAGTTTAAAATCTTTTGATTCAAAAACTCACTCACAAACCTGATTGTATGCTCTAGCCACTAGGCAGAGACAAGCCACATTGCGGGAATGTGTGTTAGTTGTGTTAGGCTGCTTTTCTGGGATGAGAAAGGTGTTCTTGGTGTCTCAGTTTCCCATCTGGAAAGAAACCGCCATCATCATCATCAATCTTTCCTTTTAGCAAAGCAGAGAGTAGCAGCGGTTTCCACCATGCATTGGAGGCCCATGTAGAGTATTCACTAAGGAGTCCATTTTTTAGCATCCCTGTTGGGAAGATGTTATGTAGGCAGACTTCATACATGGCTCTGTGTGTGTGCGTACACACACACACACACAAAACAGCAAGATAACTACCACCGTAAAATCATAGTTGAAACAAGAGTCTGTGATTTTTATGGAGCTGTAGCTATCTGGGGTTTAATGTGAGTGCTTTGAAGCAGACAGATACACACAAAAGTGTGATAGACACAGAGATAGGCAAGACTCTTCTTGTGAGCTTCCCCCCCATTGGCTGAACCTTCTAGGATCAATCACCACCCCGGATTTCCTGTCTAGAAGCTCCCAGATCTGCAGAAATGTTCTCTGCCCAGAAGCTCAGGTAGCCACCTTGTGCTGCTCTCCAGTGGTAGAAATGGGAGTATCTTTGCTCCTTCTGAGTTTTCTGGGCGCCCCAGTGTTGTGTGAGTTTTTTTTACAGAGGATGCACTTGCAGGGTGTGTGTCGGGGGAGCCAATCTGGCAGGGTGGGTCTATTAATTTTGCACCCCTTCTCCATTTTTCTAGGTGACCTTCCCCCATTTAGACTGGTGGAGTTTGGCCCAGCAGTGGTGCGGCCCTCAGAGACTCTGCAGCTGAATTGTGCTGTCTATGGTTCCTACATCACGGGTGGAGGGACCTTCTGGTATTGGTTCAAGCAGAGTCCCAGGAACGGGCTGGAATGGATGGGGCTGATTAATTCCAAGGGGGATACTGCATATGGCCCATCATTGAAGAGCCGAATAATAATCTCCAGGGACACTTCCAAGAACCAGTTTTATTTCCAGCTGAGGGCCCTGACAAGTGCTGACAGTGCCAGCTATCACTGTGCCAGACGATAGGAGACACAGTGATTGGGAGCAAAGCAGGAGCGAGGCAAAAATCTGAAAGATCTCTCTGAGGGGCGTGAGGAGTTGCAGAGTGTCTGAGGGTGGGCTTCATGCCAGAGGGAAATAAAGGCAGAAGTAGGATTAAAGAGACTTCAGAAGAAACCACATGGAAACATTACACGTTCAGACCAAAGAGAGTTTTAAAACTGGAGTTTTATTAAACTTATTATCCAGAACCAAACAAACTCAAGTTGCAGTAGCCCCATTGCTGCTGAATCCTTTCAGAGCCCCTTTGACTTCCTTCGCAGGCCCTCGATCCTTAAAGGGCCAGGGTGTAGACAAATCTAACCCTGAGATTCCCTTCTGAATGCTGCCTAAACTCTTAAACTGGACCTCTGCCTCTGTCTCTTTCCTTCCCTCTGAACTCTCACATGCAGAAACTCTCACACTCTCTCTTTCTCTCCTACCACACTTACCATCATGGTACGTGAGCGCCTCCTGCCAAGTTTTTGTTCTGAAACAAATTGAAAAGAACATATTTTTCAAAGACCTGTCAGCACAGCAATGGGAGAAACACTGCAAATGTTAATCATCAGCAGCTTTCCCTGCAGTTTCAGAGAAATCAAAAGGCTTGCGGTTTTGTGGGAAGGGTGGCCCAGACTGACATAGTCCCTGAGTTCTCCGAACCAAACCACGACACACAGCATGGGAACATGCTCTCCAGGCAAGTCCCAGGTGTGTGGCCAGCCCAGACAAACATCCACTGCCCTGTGGGGGTTGGGAGTCAGGGGAAGAGGGGTCTGTG